TAGGCAATTTCAGGCTGGACTAACTCTCGCTGAGCACCTACTATGTGTCAGGCAACAAGGTCAGTATCATCACACGATCGCCCATTCTAATAACTGCAAAGCATTTCAATTCTACGGCGTGAGAAGGAGTTTAACTTGATAGCTATTACTTAGCACACTTTAAAAATGAGTCCAGATGACACATAGGATTAATTATATGTTATTCAATTTCAATTTTAAAAAGAGGAAAGTTTTCTGTACGATTTCACACTGTGCTAATTGTTCTAATAGGCAAGAGAAAAGGCAATAATTTTAGTTATGACAATATCATAATCCTCCTACCCAGAACCATAATAGAAGAATATTCCACTGAAATACCTCACTCATAATACTGTTTTCCATTATGATAATAGGAAAAATTTTTTGTTTAGTTCTGATGGCATTGTAACTGATTCCAATGTTCTGCATGGAGGAAAAAACAACCATTTTCTATTGTATATGTGGTAAAAAAAAAAAGTAACCATAAAAGCATAATGTTTATACAATAGAAAGAAAGAGGAGGGATAATTAGCTGCCATCCCATTCACTTTACTGTCTTCAGTAGTACATGTTGAATCTGCACCTGTGTGTGGTTTGAGGCAGGTGCATCTGCCATCTTTTTTTCACCTGCAAAGCACTGAACTATGGTGTGGAGGCCTCAGGCCAGTGCTAAGTTTTCTTTCTCTGTTCCTCTGTCCTGACCCTAGGCTGGGAAAAGAGGCTGCAAGAGATTAAGGCAGCTAATATTGCAAAAGGAATAGTGAGTCTCTTCCTGAATGAGGGAGTGGAACCAACCTTACAACATTTATTTTCTGGACATGTCGATTTGTCCACAAGATTGTGGTTAAGATATTCCAGGCTGAACTAATTAAAAAAAAAGATAAATAGAAGAAAAACCAATAGAATAGAAGAAAGGCAACAGGCGGAGGGAGGAGAGGGGAAAGGAAATACTGGGGACTGAATGGGAGCAAATTATATTCCATGCTTATGTAATTATATCAAAACAAACCCAATATTATGTACAGCTATAATGTACTAATTWAAAAAAWTTTTATATCTAATGCTGAATGATCTAATCCTGATTGGGCTGAATGAAGAATATTGGTGGGGCTGGGGCTGGGGCTCAGTGGTGGAGCGCTCACCTAGCATGTGCGGGGTGCTGGGTTCGATCTTCAGCACCACATAAAAATAAATAAATGAAATAAAGGTATTGTGTCCAACTACAACTAAAAAAATGTTAAAAAAATACTGGTAAAGAGGTCCCAGTATTGGGCACAGTCTGCAGTAAGAGCAGGTGGGATTGGGGGCAGTGGGGAGATGGATGCCTGGAGGAAAGAGCTSTGGGGTGGTGTCAAACTTGATTGGTTCTCAAGTGGGATTTTCCTCTTAGACCAGCAAAATTTAAAGTATGAGAATCAAAAATAATYTAAAAGTAATCAAAATACATCTGCATTTCCTCTCTCTCTCCTCTCTGGAATTCTTCATCTGACATTGCTGCTCAGCCTTCAAACCCTAGCTCAAGCCTCAGATGCTCTAGGAAGTCTGTCCTGCCTCCTGCACTCTCCCCAGCCTAGGCTGAGCACCCTTCCCTGCTCCCATAAAACCAGGAGACATTTCCTGTTARGGAGGAAGGAATTTTCTCTACTATGAAATAGGATGTATTAGTTGAATTTGCAGAACCTACAAAATGTCCTAGTTTTAGCTTTGGCCCATCCAGGCTTCTGGCCACTTGCTCTATTCTCTTTTCCTGTCCCCTTCTCATGGGAAGGGAGTTGCTCTTTAGACCACATTGCACTAACAAGCAAGGACACTGTCAAAGGGTCATAAGCCATCACATGTGTCCATATTCTTATTTCATCAGCTGTTAGAAGTGGCAGGCTGGCCTACTTGTCCACGTCGTTATTGGGTAAATGGATTTGAGAATCTGCTCCAGAGACTTTCTCATTCCTGTCATTATCCACCAGGAGGCTGAATATAGTGTAAAGGAGGGATACCCCAGAGGAACAGGCCTCAGTCAGGCACCCTGGCTCAGCCTACAGGGCAACCTCGTGTTTGGCTTGGTTGGATGCTTTCCCACTTGGCAATTGATTCTCACAGGTAGCATCCCCTTGTCAGGAAACTGTGGAAAGCAGCACACTCAGTGAGAAGATTCTAGGACCTACTAACCTCTAATACTTCCATTTTTGCACTTCCAAAACAATGCACTGTAATCTGTCTCCCTTGGTTAGAGAGTAAATTCTATAAAAAACAAGATCGATCCTTGTATCCTCAGCTCAGTCCAATGTCCAATATGTTAGGTGCTCAAAAAATGTTTAGCAAACGAATGGATGAGTTTGTCCATTCTTGAACCTAGTTTATCCATCCAACCTCTGGCCACCTTGCATCTGGTCCTGCCAGGTGGATCCCTGAAGATTCCCTCCATAAGTTGTGCCAGATCCACCTGTGTTGAGCCCATCTGTCCTCCTCACCCATAATTTCCTTAACATTCACATTCACAATTTCTATTAAGCTTTTTTTCAGCTAGTTCTGCTCATTTTGTCTCTTGCACAATTAGTTTAGTCCTTTGTTATTCTCTAATTTAAATGTGTGGGCATTATGTGTATAACTGGATCACAAGGGACCTGGTCTTCACTTACCTAGCTTGTAAAACACCATCAGTAGAGTAAGAAGTTGCGAATAGAGGCATTGTCTAGTCTCACTAGCTGGAATGAGGTGGGATGAGTCATTTATTTTCCTTACTTTTCAGTTTCCTCATCTGTAAAAACTGAGGAGATAACCATCTGCTTGTATCACAGGTGTTATAAGGATCAAAATTAAGACAGTGACATCTGCAAAGAACTAAAGCACAATTCATACCTCATAGAACATAGCTCAGAAGAGAAATTAATAATGCTTGTAGATTTACTTGATAATAATTATGTTGTTCATAAGCATTTCAAAATGAAGGTTGAATTATTCTTAATGTAGCTCTAGTGAAGATTATTATTATTGTTTTAGTTATTTATTTACTTTTGCAGTGACAGGCAGATGATCCAGCATCTTTAAGCCTATTCCAAGCATGTTCAACAGGTTTAGGTTTGGGAAATACTATCACAGAAATCTCTTGGAAAGCAAAATTTTTTTTTTTGTTTGCCATCATTGTATATCCTAAAACTAATTAATTAATTATTAGGGATTAATAATCCAACCCATCAAAAATTTTATCTTTAATCACCTCCCTTCTATTACTTACTTGTAACTGAACTTGAATTTTGATCCCAGTGTAGGAATTATTACCTTCATTTCATGAGAACTCAGAAGTTCAGTGAATTTGAAGGTCAGAGAGATCAACAGCCACTGGGTCAGGACTACAGAGCTCACAGGCACAAAGGTTCAGTTGTCTTTCGACTAAGATGAGGTGAAGAGGCAGTGAGGACAAAGACTGGGTATGAGTGAAATGTGGGCTGTTTAATGCTGGGCTTCCCAGGCATTTAGGCTTGGTGGGGTAAGAGGTTAAATTTTTGCTTAAAATAAAATTCCTGGATTATCTTTCAGTGGTTGGTGTATATTACTTTTATTTTCTCTACTCCATGCAAACAAGAGTTCTATACATGATGATGAATACTCAGCATGTCTGTGCTGCCAGATGGATCTTCGAATCAACGTTCCTTGAATAATACTAATTTTAGTAAAGAAATTCTCCAAACATAGTAGGTTAATATAGAATGTTGATGTTGTGTGATAATACACTGTAAAAGATTCAATCTTTGAAGATTAAAAAAAAACACCTTATGTATCACTATTTAGTTCAAAGAAATAGAGGTGAGGGGAATGTTTTGGGTAATCACAGAACAATTTTATCTTAGTTTTATTAAGGGCTTTATATTTTGTAACATCAATGTCTTCTCTGGTTAAAAAAACAGTAAAATTTTTATGTACAGAGAATATTGTATATGCTGTAAAACTCTTTAAGTCATACATGATGTGTAGTCATTGACCACGTCATAGTGTTTGGTCAATGAAGGACCACACACACGACAGTGGTCCCATAAGATCATACTGTGTAACCTAGTGATGTCATACCCATTTTAGTTTTTATAAGTACATTCTGTGATATTCGCACAATGACAAAGTCACCTCCATTTTTCAAAATGTGTCCCTTCATTAAGCACACGACTGCATATTGTTATTCTTGGGGTTTTGCAAGCAACTTTAACATACCACATAAAAATATTTGTGCACATTTTTATGGTGTAGTGCAAAGTACCAGTATGAGACTTATTTTCTATATTTTAAAAGTTACAAGTAAGAATTTAATAACATTAATTTTAAACTTTGCCCATGTAAATGAGTACTTGAAGAAAGAGAGGAAGTTAAATAACCTTCAGCTAAGTTAATTAACATGCCCCAATGTTGTGTGAAAAGGTAATTTTCCTACTCAGTGTGTTTTTGACTCAAATTCTAAGAGTTCTAAGAGCGGTGACCTACATAGATGTATAGACCTCAGCARTTTGATATGGCAGCCACTAGAGACATGTGGCTACTCAAATTAATTCAAAATTTTTTTTAAATGTAATACTAACTCCTTATTTGCATTAGCTACATGAAGGGTTCAAAAGCTACATGTGGTTAGTAACTGCAGTATTGGAGACATAGAGGACATTTTAGAGAAAGTTTTATGAGATAGCAATCTCTTTCGTGATGGCATAGGTTAACAAGATTAGCAAGGATCCCATGTGAATGGTGGAGGGAGTTTTGAATATTTTCTCCAAATTAACTTTCCCTTGACAAATGTCGCTAAATACTTCTATATGTTACACCCCCCCCCAACACACACACACAAACACACACACACGCATACACAGAATCTGGGTCACCATAAATAACATATCTTTGTATCTTTCATGGCCATTGAATCTTTTACTTGAGGGTGGTTATTATTTAATGAATAATTTCAAGTAATTCTCTCTATTGCAATAACAGATCATTCACTGAGGAGACCACACTTCTGACTGCATGGTGCTTTATTTAAATGCACATATATACAATGATGACAAAGGAAAACATGGCAGAATCCAGCACAATGGCTGCATGCTCAGGTAGGACAGGTGGAATCTGGTTTTACAGAGTGAAATATGGTTGAAAATAGGAAAAGCTTGGAGAGCAAGTGTTCTTTCCCATCACCACATAGAAGGGTCTTCAAGCCTGTAACACATAAGAAGCAAAGCATGTTAAGAGAAGCTGCTTGACTACCTGGGATACTTTCAAGAGTGAGACATGCAGTTCTGAACTGAAAGAGGATCAGAAACTTCCCGTTGGCACTCTAAATCAGAGGCCACGTGGAATAGTAGGAGTGAGACGGCAGCATGATGTGCAAAGACCCAGCTGAGAGGCTTTCACTCATGCTAAGGAAGTCACAGGCATATTTAAAAGGCTCTGTACATATCAAAGGAGCTGAGGGACTCAGCAATATTTCTGAAGATCAAAACTACAGGAATCACATGAAACTGGAACAAGAAAGTTAGTGTTACTCAACTGAATATGCTTCCGTTGTTTTCCCTGCAAGCCTTGTTGTGTAGTAGGATGCTATTTATTAGACTATAAAAAGCCCTTTTCAAGAAAACAGCACTCGCAGGCAACTTCAAGGCTATTTGAAGTTGTTTCTTTCTAATTGCCATGAGTCTGTCAATCAGGGTTCAATTAACTTTTGCATGCACTAACTGTGTTTGTTACGTGGGGCCACAAGACAAAACCAGCAACAGAGTTCTAAGTAGGTGTGGATGGTTACTTTTCCTAACTGAAAGAAGACACAGCTACCCAAAACTTCTTATTGTGGCAAATATCATCTGCAAGTCAACGAAACACGAAAAGGCACTTATTGCTTAGTATTAAAACAGCCTTGTGATTTTCCATCTGTTTCTCTTGGATTTGCTGTTTAAGTCAGAGCTGGTACTTCTGGGGACAAGAGCACTGGAGTTTTGTTCCAGTTTGAATCATTGTTTCCCCTGAGAGAAACGGAGTCTGCCAACTCTATATTTGTGCCCTTCACAATAGCTGGCCATTTCACAAGGGAACTGAGGGAGAGCAGGAGGGGAGGTGGGTGGTCCAAGGGTTTCCCCGGGGATTCTCTAGAGAGAATCTCAATGAAGAGTGACACCTCGGTCACACTCACTGAGCAAGTGTGCTAGTGACCTCTTCTGGGGAAATTGGTTCTTGACGTTGGTTGTAGAGCTGGGGTCTGAGGCAGCTAACCTACCCAGGACAAGAGTGGACCTCTGCCTCCTACTGTGGACAGAGCGGGGTGAGGGTTGGGGGTGGGGAAAGTAGCCATTGGAATATGAAAATGGAAGCAGATTAGGCTTCTTTATAGCAGCACTCCYTCCTTGTCCAGGAAGTGCCATAGAATCTCAGCCCAAGGGCTAGCATTTAGATTTTGGGGACATCTCTTCCCAAGACAGATCTACACTCCAACAAAGTTCCAAGTCTGCAAATAAACTGCTAAGAATAATGTCATTCAACAGTCATTCATTGAATGTAATATATTACTATGTTGAACTAAAACGTGCCCAAAAGTCACCAGGAGCTACTGATTCATCTACAACTTTGTGCAGGAAGGCTGGAGACAAACACACGGGGAACATTTCCTAGGAAACACAGGCACTCCACCAAGTGTATGAAAACTAGAGATTATTTAGGCAAAGATGGACAACTGGTCATTTAAATTTAGAGTTAGGGGGCTTACTCTATGCAACCCCAAAGATAACAATACTATAAAATCTACTCAGAGTAATAATTTCTGAGCCAAAAGTTATCTATGTTTAGAGTTTTCAAAGGAGCACCAAATAGTATGGGCTAGGAAATGTCACTCCACAGAAATTTGGAGATTTACCATGAGTGCATGAAAAGAAATGTCCTCCCTGTCTGATTCTCCATCCCAATTTCTGCCAAATCCCTCCCCTCCTCTAGAAGTTTCCACCCCTTTGCCGCCCATCTTCACCTGGGCACCTGAGTTCTGTAACAGTGTTATCACAGGAGAGTCATACCTAGTTCTGGGAACATTTTCTGTGCTTTCTCTCATTAAGAGGTCTGAAATCAGTGTCTCAGGGCTAGACCGTTTTCCATATCTGGAAAAAGAAAAACAAAAGGAAAGTCTTTTCAAAGCAAGCTTGGAATAACCACAGAAGTCTTTAGTAAAAAGGAAGATCGGCTCCTATTTGGGATATTGATCCTACAAGGTATTTTCACTTGTTCATGTGCTAATAAGTAATCTAGGTGTATGAAGCATCTACTATCAAAAATATGATTTAAGTTTCACATATATTTAAAATTTGCTTAAATTCATAATAAATAACTTAGTAGAATATTTAAATGCAACCCAAAGCTCTAATCAAACTCTTGTCTTTTAAAACTACCACCAGTAGTCCATATATATAGAGAGATATTCTTTTATAACTAGGTGACAGGAAATTTAAAAGCACTGAAGCTTGATTCCAAACGTTTCCATAATTAGTTGATTGGCTATAGTTCTGATGATACACAGCAGTTTAAATCTTAACAAGGAGACCAAATGATAGATCCAGAAAAAAAAAAAAACAGCAGTATGATGTTCAAATCCCACCTGCGTTTTTGAATCTGTTTTCTTATTCATAAAAAATTATAACCCGTGTTTAAATCAGAGTCTTTGTTAAAATTCAATGCGAAAGTGAGTCACAATGATTTTAGAGTGACAAAGTGATACACATGTGCAAGTTACTGCCGTTGAAATGCATCCATCCTTACGGCTACCAACAGATCCTGCGTCTTATGTTTTCCGTATTTTTTCAAGGCACCAAAAGCTAAAAACCTTCCTTGATGCTGTGATTTTTAACTTGCCCTATAAGTTTAAAGGAATCCTATTGATCCATGAAAGTGCTCTTTTTATTCTACCTCCTGTAGCTAGATATGTTGGGACAATATCTGAATGCAAATTTACATTTACCTGTAAGAGTAGTGTAAGTATCCTGCTTCAGGACACTGCCTATGGGTTTGACAAATCTATGCAAATTAATTTTTTTGCAGAGTATTTTCTCCTTTCTTAGAAAAGGTTCTGGACACCAGGAGTCATTTTGTTTACAAATGGAAATTTAACCTGGCATAGATTAATTAACTAATAGGTACAACAGCTAAACAAAGCTAACAGAGAATATGCTTTAACTGCTTACCAAACATAACTAAACCCAATTTTTTTCTTTTGGAAAGATGTGGGCTCCTTTGCAGAGGCTCAAAGGAAGCAAACAAACAAAAAAACAAAAAAACAAAAAACCAAAGCCCTCACTGTCCTCCACCTCCTACTCTCTCTCCCAGCATTGTTAAGACTTCCTTGTGTTGTGGTATCAGGCTGCAGGCTGCTGCTTATATTTAGTAATTCTGTCCTTCAGTTGATTTTTACTAATTTTAAAACTCTTGGGCAACCTTAATTCACTTACTTTCATCATGCCCCAGTGAGTGAAAGAATTGGCAACCATTTTCTCTAATTTAACAGAAAAGAATCTAAATCTCTAATAGTGGGATTTGCACAGTCATAAACTAGGTTTCAGGACAGCAATATTCACTACTCTTCCTTCTCTAATTAATTCTGGATTATCCTTCTTCTCTACAATGCCTTAACTTGCAAAGATTGAGTCTCCAGGGCAAAATTCTCAAACGTGGCTGCACATTAGAATCACCTGGAGAGCTTAAAGAAAAGAGAGATAGAAAAAAGAAAAAAAAAAAACACTATAAAGCCTAGGTCCCACCTCCCAGAGGGTCTCATTTAATTGGTCTCCAGTGGAGGCCAACTTATATATATTGCTAAAGCTCTCCGGTGATTTTAATGTGCAGCCAGGATGAGAAACCATAATATAGGGCTGAGTTTTTCAACCTTGGCACTGCTGACATTTGAGGTTGTTGTAGGGGGCTGTCTTGGACATTCTAGGATGTTTAGCAGTATCCCTTTCTTCTACATACAATATGGTAGTAGCACCCACCCTAGCTGAGCAATAAAAAATGTCACCACACATTGCCAAATGTCCTGGAGAGAATATCATCACCTGAGAGCTGCTGATCTAGGGAACCACATAAGCAAAATGTGATAGACCCACACTCTGGAATAAAGAAAGCAACTTTCAGAGACAGTGAACTAGGTTACACAGAGCAACAGGGCTATACCTCAAAAACACGAACCGAGTAGAAAAAAGAAGAGAACAGTTTCATATGACCATATATGCTGACTTCAAACATAATTACAAATGACACTATAATTAAAAAAAAAAAAATACTTGTGCATGTGAGTGGGCATCAATGGCGGGAAGTCAATAGGTGCACAATGGAGGAGATGCAGGTGCATAAGGAGCCTCTGATGGCTTCCAAGAAGGAATTTACAGGAAGTTGAGGCTGGAAACTGTGGCACCAGCTTATTCTCAGCTAACCTGAATCTCTTCCTTTGGAACTCAAGTCCCTCTCCCATTTTTTCCTCATCAAAGATGTTGGAGATGATACTGACTGTTAATGGTGAAGACAACATTCAAAGAAACTCAATAGAGGGCTTCAGTTCCATAATCCCTAAAAGAAACCTTCATGAAATGTTCTTAATTTCATGAACTGTAAAATGGAAAACATATCAACTTCAAAGCTTTGAGGAAAGGACTGGATAAGACACCTAGGAAAATATTTTGAAAAGCTAAAATTTTATATAATGGCAAAGCTTTGTAGCAATCGTCTTTGCAAAAATGAGTTCTGCGATAATTTTTGCTGTGACTTAATGACATTGTTTTCCTAGAAAAAAATAACAGTTAATATCTTTATTGTTTGTCTAAATTCTTTTTTTTTTCCTGGGCTGTACAAAAAGCAGGAATTTGCAGCAATTAACTTTCTGAGAAGTCCATTAGGATTCAAAACATTGTTTTTTTTTATTTTAAGGGATCATGAACCAATATTATTTAATTGATCCTCTGTAAATTTGAACTTATATTTCATAAGTCTTTTCACAATGCCACATGCCGTTTTGATGACACAAAAGGAAGGAAACTATTTTTTAAGTATAAATTCTCCCCCTACCCCCACACACCCTGCTTTGATTTTTTCCAACTATTCCCTGACCTGTAAAAGTAAAAACATGATTAAAAAAGTAAACAGAACAAAACAATACTTTAAAACACATAATTGAAACATGTTAAATAACATTAATGCTTCTAAAGGGCTCATCCTTTATAGCTCCTTACAATGACATGTTAAATGATTTAGAACTGAGATGCACCAGTTTTGAAAACAAAATTTAAACACTGCATTGTGTGTAAAATAGATTGGATTTGATTTTTCACTTAATAGTCAATGTTAAGAGTGAAAGTGTGACATTTCATTTTAATTTTCTGGGCATCCAAGAAAAAAAAAGTTTATAAGTTTTCAGATTCCAAGTATTCTCTGGATTTATCCTAGAGTTACTAGATCAATATAAGTTTTTTTTTCTTAATAAAGAAAGTAAGACTTTCTTTTCAGAACTCACCTACTATAAAATGGGCCAAATCTTCATTTTTAAATTAACTGTTTTCATGCTAAATTATTAATAATGGGATCATGATTTCAAGCATGGAGGTGAGACTGCCAAAAATGCTGTAGGTAAGAAACACACAGCTCTGTTTATCTCTTCCTAAATGATGTCACTGGGTTTGCCCTGGGCATGTAGGAAAGTGTAGCCTCCTCGTGGTGACCAGGCTGTTTCCTCCTTGGTTTTCTTTGGTGGTGGTTGTTTCCCTAGACACCTGGTTCGCTCTCCTTCCTACCCACTTTCTTAGAGGCACTCCTGCCCCTTTCACTGGGCACTTTTCCCATGGAGAAGACTAGACAGGCTCCAAGGGGCTTAAAAACAAAAAAAGACCCTGGGTAAGTGGGAGGAGATGCCAAACACCAGCTTGGGGAACCCGAGTGAGTAGTTACACAGGGACTGAACCCTGTTTCTGCAGTTTGTGCCCTGAACATTTTACCTAGAGCTGAATATGTGCCTGATATGGTCATTCCCTGGATGTAGCAAAGAAAAAGAAACGGTCCCTTGCGCCTAAGATCCCCAGGATTTGCAGTGTGAGGGCTTGGGGCTCTCTGAGTCATTCTCGCGGATCCCACCCACCTCTGCCTGGTGATGAGGTTGATGTAGTGTCGCAGCGCCGAGTAGTATCTGGCCATGTCCTCCGCTGGAGCGTCCTCTCCCGGGTTGTCCGGCTTGGAGGGGTAAGCCTCGGCCAGCGCACCCAAGCACACGAGCAGGGACAGGGCGAGGGTCAGTCCGGACAGCCCCAGTCGCTTGCTACCTAGCATCTGCGGACATAAAAGTTTCAGTGGATTGGAGTTGGGGAACTTGGGGATTCAGAGGACGCACTCCTGAGCCCTTTTCGCTGCTGTCACCCTCGACGCCCCCAATCCTCTCAAGTCCCAGTTCTACATACAGAAAGAAGCTGATCTTTGATGGCTAAGATGTTCTGTCCGGGCCCCGCCCCTCTGCTCCGCGGGAAAACTCCGAGCAACTTTCATACAAGTCCTAAGGACTGAGTAGCGCAGCGAGAGGCGCAAAGTGGAGGCTTGGTCAGGAAAACAGTTTGAAAACAGAATCGGAAGTTTTTCCCTCTGAGTTAAAGGGTGATCACTTTTCTCCCCTTCTCCCTCAATACTTCTCGGAGGAGAAAACTTTCTTCTCTATTACTTTGGTTTGTCTGGGAAGGACAGCTATGATTGAGATTCCCTCCGGGTGACAACTGAGTTGGGAAGAGGGAAGGAGAATTACTAGCCAGGCTAGCCTGTCTTGGAACCGATTTCAAGGATCTTGAGGTGACTGGGCGCCGGTGGGGTATTCCTCACTCGAGGGCGCTGCCTGGGAAACCTCTCTCCGCCCACCGAAATCTGGCTGCGGGGAGATGGTCAGATGCCTTGGGATAGGGGTCCCACCTTTTCCCTCCCTATCTATCAAAACATAATCCCGAGGGTACGCCCAGTCGGAGGGACCAGGAGAAGGGCCGAAGGACAACCAGAGGGGACCAGAAAAGACAAATGAAATTTAGCCGCCAAGAAGGGATGGCGGGCATCTGGGCGTGAAAATGGCAAAGTCCGGGGCGCAAAATCTAGGGATCCGAGTGCGACCTCCCAGGACTCCAAGGCTCCGCAGAGGGTGAGATGATGCCCGGGGCAAGTTCACCCGCGCCCCCTTAGCTCCCGCCCTTACCCCAACCGGTCCTGATACTCACGATGGCTGGCGAGCGGGCGTGGCTGGGCGGCAAGTGCTCTGCGGTGGGGGAGCTCCTCTTCCAGGTGTGAGGGAGGGCGGATGGGGTGCTGAGAGCGGGTCGCAACTGGGCTTTTATGGAGCTCCCTTGCCGCGGCAGGAGGGGCCTCGGGTAGTCACGCTTGGGTGACTCCCGCCTGCCACTTCCCGCCCCCGAGCGGCTGGGGGAGGGGGTTGGAGCTGCAGCCGCACGAGTGTCTGCTTCAGAAGCCACCTACACCCCAACTCTCTCGCGCCAGGCCTTGCGGGACTGGACAATGAACGTGAAGCAGCGCACTCCAAGTGCGCTCGCTGGGCACTGTCAAACCTTAAGTGCCTGCTGCCCTCCGGGCGGCGTCGAGACCCGGCTTTCCCTCACTTGGGGTTAGTTCTGCAGAAGTAGGCACAGTCCAAAGCTCGGTCGCCAGCCGCTAAAATGACCAACCCGTCGGACGTGGGGGTGCTGCTACCCGAATCTTGTACTTCGTGGAGCATTTCCGCGACACGCGCGGCACTTGTGTGGGTACAACCGCGCGCCTTCGGAGAGAGGCAACTGGGTGCACAGGTTTCTCCCACAGTTAAGGCAGGTGGAAGGTGGCTGCCCAGGGTCGTGATTCCCGAAGGTCCCCGTGAGGAGCTGAGAACCAGTTTCTGTGGTTTGGTCTTTGCCCAGAATTTTTTTTTTTTTTTTTTTCTTTGAGATCGGTCCTTCTAAGTACTTGACTAAACTCAGTGAGCCAGGCTTCCTAGCGACCTGAAGAGTGTGGGGACTCCAAACTCCCGGAGGCCAAACACGGTCAACTAACTTCCAGGCTTGCTGCGTTTCCAGCGTCTAGAGACTTTTGGTCCCAAGTGGTCATAAACAAAGCAGAGCAGCAATTTCCCCATTATCTAGTGGCCCTTATGAAGTCCTAAGTACGTTTCTGTTTATGATGGTGTATATGGATCCTGCTTGAAATGAAATTGATAAAAATAAAAATGAAAAGACCATTAATTGCGAATTATGTTAAACCTGTTGAATGAATATGTAAGATACATAAATCATTCTTAAAGGATTAGGATTTTATGCAGTGGACTGAGGTCTTACAGTTCCCTGAATGAATGCTTCTGGAAGTCTGAATCTTTCAGGAAAGATTAACACGCTATCTTAATGCTTAAATGATCAGGGATTCTGTTAAATTGATACTTTGTTTTTGTGCTGTTCTGACAGTATTGAATTAAGTATCATTGAATTACTGTGAAGCGAGCAATTCTTTCTCCCCCACCCCGTGTGTGTGTGTGTGTGTGTGTGTGTG